TATTTATCAATTTATTTTTCATAAAAAAATATTTTAAAAAGGAAGATAAAATAATTCCTTTTGGATATATTAATAACTTTAATTTTTATGAGAAAAATAAATAAAAAGAATTCCTCAAAAATACCATATTTAAACATATTAATTTATTTTTCATTAATTTATAAAAAAAATATTAAAAATTAATTCATTTAAATATTATACTTGAATATATTTATCATTTTAATTTTGAATATATTTTAAATTTATATTTTTCATTTGATTAAAATATATTTAAATGCTTCAAGTGCAATTAAATAAATGAATATGAATATTTGAAGTATATTTGCAAAACAGAAGAGAGAGTAACTCAACTCGATTGTGCGATTGTATTTGTTATTGGCCATAACATCCTGATTGGAAACCTGTCTCAACTCAAACTCACCTAGTTTGAGGCTGAGGCCGATCTTGGGCCGGTTCTCCTCCTGGAGCGGGATCTCGGGCGGAGAGTTCTCGTGAGGGATGATGATGCCGCAGGGCGACTCTTCTCCGGGCGTGTCGGGCGTGGCGTTTCCGCTGGCTGAGGACACTGAGGGGGCGGCCACGATGGGCCGCATGGTGGGTTTGAGGCAGGGTTTCACCTCCTCTTCGTCCTCTAGCTCCTCCCCTTCCTCTACATCATCGTCAGAGGGGACATGAGACTTGCGCCGCTCTCTCTCCCGGCCTCGGTCGCGCTCTTCTCGAGAGGGCTTGTGCTCTCTCTCCTCCTCGGGCTCGGGCTTCACGGGCGGCTGCCGCAAACGCTCTGCCTCTTCCTCCATCTGACGAACACAAAAGCAGAAGATGTGAAACAGAAGAGCGCAAAACACTGAGCACTTTGCTTCCGGGAGTACTAAGGTTTTAAGCCACGAAACACCGCTCAGCACTGAGATTAATCACAATACACACTTTCATTTAAAACAAGTATTCGAAAAGCAGAAGACAAAAACAGTCCCATGACACACTGCAAATGAGATAAGCGAGAATTTTTTTTTTATAATATTAAAATACTGGCTCAGTTATTATGAATAAAATATATATAAAAATTAATAATGTTAATGAAATACAATTATTTAAATAATAAAATTTAAATATTAGATTTACCAATTTATTTTTCATTCATTAAAATAATTAAGATTCATTTAAATACTACACTTGATTAAAAAAATTATAATTAGTAACAAATGACTAATAATTTAAATCAAATATTACTCATTTAAATACAATATGAATATTTTTATAATTTATAAAGCAATTAATAAAATTGAAACGCTATACTTGAATATTAAATTTTTCATTAATAACAAATGATTAATAAAATAATTAAGGAAATATTGTAACTCATTTCAACACTTCACTTGAATATATTTAATTTATTATTCAATAATACAAAATAAAAAAAAAATAATGAAAATATAATTCCTTTAAATACTACACTTGAATATATTTAATATTCTATTTATATTTATATCCATTTATTACTCAATACAAAATTTTAAATGAAAACATATTTAAATATTGTATCTGAATATATTAATCATTTCATCAATTAACGAAAAAGTATTAATGAAATTGAAATATTAAAATTAATTTAAATATTACATTTGAATGTATCGTCTTATTTTTTAAATTAATGAAAAATAAACCAATTAAAATAATGAAAAAGAATTCATTTAAAAATACTACATTTAAAAATATGCATCAATTTACATTTTTCATTTGATTGATATGTATTGAAAGTGCATTTGACTAAATGAATATGAGTATCTGAAGTATATCTGTGAACTGACTGACCCTGCGCAGCTCAGCGTCTGGATCAGGATGTCCTTCTGCTAGCAGCCTCTGCCTGATCTCCTCCAGCTCTTCCTTCTCCCGCTTCCGGTCACGTTCATCCAGCTCCATCTCCTTCTCTCGGTCCCGCAGACGCTTCTGAAGAGCGCTGCCCCTGCAGGCAGAGCAGAGAAACACACCATTTAGGTCATGTCCACAGTATTCAGACAGCGTTTTGAGGACTTTAGTAGCAAGATAACTAGATTTGTTTGTTCTCAAGGTGTATATGTATCCCTGGAGCACAAAACAGGCTGTTTGTAGCAATAGCCAAAAATACATTAGGATATTAAGTAAAGATCATGTTCCATGAAGATATTTTGTAAATTTCCTACCGTAAATATATCAAAACTTAATTTTTGATTAGTAATATGCATTGCCTTTAAAGCTGTCCAAATGAAGTTCTTAGCAATTTTCTCAATATTTTGATTTTTTTGCTCCCTCAGATTCCAGATTTTCAAATAGTTGTATCTCAGCCAAATATTGTCCGATCTTAACAAACCATACATCAATGGAAAGCTTATTTATTCAGCTTTCAGGTGATCTATAAATCTCAATTTCGCACTTGTGACTGGTTTTGTGCTCCAGGGTCACATATGCCATTTCAGATCTATCTGCCTCTAAATGTGACGGGGAAAAAAAAAATCATAGATTTGATGGTGCACAGAACTCACCTGTAGTATTTTGGGTCGTCTCTGTCGTCATCATAATCTTCCAGAAACTCCTTCAGCCGTTTCCCTTCTTTAGCCTGAGAAAACAATACGAGAGAAACATTCAGTAATTCAAACAGAAACATTCTTACATTACATTTCCCATTTATTTTTAATTTATAAAACTATTAGTAATATTAAATACTAATCAAATAAAAATTAATTGAAATACTACATTTGTACTATAATGATTTTATTAATGAAAAATAATTGGATAAACTATAAAAGACAATTAAAATAATTGAATTATTATAATTAAATTTTCATTAATAAAAATAATAATTCAAAAGTAATTAAAAAATTCACTTGAATACTACATTTGAATTTATCAACTTATTTTTCTTTAATTAAAACAATTTCAATTAAAATTCATTTAAATACTATATTTTAAAAAAATATTTATCCATTTGTTTTTCATACTAAAAATATATCCTTTCATTAATAAAATAATAATTTAACTAATGAAATTAATATTAATTTAAATATTATATTTCAATCTATTTATCAATTTACTTTTCATTAGTAAAAAGTAATTAAGAAAATAATTCATTTAAATTGGTGCTGTCAAATCGATTAATCATGATTATACATGTATGTGTATACATAAATATACACAGTACACTTATATATTATGTAAACAAACTTTTATCTTTATCAATAGATCGTGATTAATCGATTTGACCGCACTAATTTAAATACTATATTTTTATAGTTATCAATTTACTCTGGAAACATTCTCCATATATTTTTTAGGCTGAAATGCTTGTGTGAATAGATCAGGACAATAGCTGTCTACCATCTCACGCCGGCGTTCCTCCTCTCTCTCCATCTCCTTGCTGTAGTCTCTGGCTTTCTTCCTCTCTCTGAGCTCCCAGTTCTTCAGACGCTGTTGTAATTAAAGAAGGTAAATAGTGGATCAAGACAGCTAATCATTCAGTAATGTGATCAGATTCACCTCCTGATACGCCGCCTCTTTCTCTCGCAGCTTCCTCTCCAGTTTACGCCGTTCATACGCCTCTTCCTCATCTTCCTCACGATCACGCTTCTTCTCCTTATCTCGGTCTCTATCGCGACTCTGTTCTCTGAAAATGGACAGCACCCAGTCACGATATATGAAGTCTGCACTTTATTGTCGACACAGAACTTCAGCTTTTGAATATGTTGGCATATACATTTTGTAGCGCTACAAAAAAAGAACAATAAAATTGTTGTAAATAAAAATGATTATAAATACCTTAACATCTTGTACATTTCTGTATTTATGTAAATGTTGCAGAAATGTATAAATATGAATTTTATAAATAATAATTTTGCATAAATGAGACATACATTTTGGTAAATATAAATAAATACAAATTTATGTTATAAATAAATATTTATAAATAAATTAGAAATATAAATGTTGACAAAATTATTACAAAATTAATGCATTTATTAGAAAATGTTAATATAAATATATATCGTTGAATAAAACACCTTGTTAAAAAGTATCAAATACCTTTCAACAATTTGAACATTTTTATTCATAAAAAAATATTCAGAAACAAATGTAAAAATAGACATATACATGTTTGTAAATAAAATTTGAAATATAAAAGAGAATGTTAATATAAATATTTATAATTAAATACCTTGTTAAAAGGTATCAAATACAGTTAAACATTTTTTCATACTGAAAAATAAATATTCATAAATATAGATGTAGAAATATAAATGTTGATAAAGAAAATGGGATGAACACACTGACAAAATGTGAAATATACAAATATATATTTAAATATATTTATGAATAAATACTAGGGCTGTGACTGTGGAAGATTTTTACCACCACGGTGGTAATGGACCAACTACCGCCGGTAGCGCGGTGTTGAGATATATATATATATATATATATATATATATATATATATATATATATAAAATTGGTGTCAAAATTAGCGTGTTAACGCATGCAATTAATTTTTTCAGTTTAACGTTAAAAATATTTAATTAACACAGGGTCGGGGCTAGGGTTGGCCACCCCACTCACAACTGCTGCTTCTGTCACTTTCTTGACAAGAAGTGCATTTATTCAGTCACAGAACGACTGAGAATGGGAGACGTTTCAGACGCGAGCTCCTCTTCACAATCGGTGCAAGGCGTGAGTCAAGCGAGCGCGGAAACGGTACTGTGCTCGTAGCGCGTGCTCTTCAATTACACACACAAAGGCGCCAGCGCGCTGTAGCCTGTATCCTTTCATATCAAAACGTGAAATAAACTACGTGCATGCAATGCCGTTGTCAGTTAAGTCATGAAGTTACCAAAAAGGCAATTAAAGCGGTCTTAAAGCTGTGCATGCATGTAATATATTTGATATGAGTCACATCTAAGAACATGTCTCTGAAATGGTTTTCAAAACGGTCCTGGAGAAGCCCAGCACAGTCTCACTCATCTAACACACCCGATTTAACTCGTCAGCTCGCGTTTATTTTAGCACTTCAGTCAGTGAATCCGCAGCCTGCAAAACACTAAAATAAATATCAAAGAAATAATAGTTAAACAAGAAAGTAGCCTAAATAAAAAAAAGTTAAATACACCCTGTGTACAGGACGCGGTGCGACAAAATACTATAAAACTCATTATAATCAGTGATGCTAAACTGGATGCACGACACGACAAATCCCCGACAGTAAACTGCCTCGTTCTATTTATGAGGTACTGACACAGAGTTCAAATGTCCTGTGAAGACACTAGACAGACTTGTTGCGACGCGGTGGTGTAGCGTCCGGTGTAGACACAGTTCACTGTTCCGCTACTGTTATTACACTTGTATACAAAACTTCATATTATGCTTGTTATAGAGTGCGTGATGTCACGTGCACTACCGCCGGTAGCAGTAGACAACCGCGGTGGTGACGATATAGTGACAGCCCTAATAAATACCTTGTTAAAAGGGATCAAATACAGTTTAAAAATGTGTATAGTTGTATTGATAAATTTTCATAAATGTATAAATACATAGAAATACAAACATGGATAAAAAAAAAGGAAAATATAAGTGAGAAAATGTTCATAAAAATATAAATATTTATAAAACACCTTGTTAAAAATACCTTTCAACAATGTCTAATTATACATTTTCAGAAATATAAATGTATAAATATAAATAAAACAACTGATAAATAAAATGAAGTGAATATAAATGAGAAAAAGGTAAACTATAAATTTCTAATTCTATTTTCATCATTTGTAAGTCGCTTTGGATAGAAGTATCTTCTAAATGAATAAATGTTTATATATATGTTTATATATATATATATATATATATATATATATATATATATATATATATATATATATATATATATATATATATATATATACACCAAAGACAGCACTAATGCTTCCGATATCAATTTAATTTCTAATTTTATAGGTCCCCCCAGAAAGACAGTCCCCACCCCCTTGGCCCCCTTCAAATTATCAGTTTGATAAATCGGCCCTCAAATGAAGCTAATTATATAGCCCTGGCTCTAATCTGTTAACATGGATGCAGAAAAAAATACACACTGCAAACTGAGTATGTGTGAAACAGGTGTAACACGATGGCCTGCCCTGCTTGCCGAACAAGAATCTCAACGTTTTTTAGGGACAAAAAAATATATAAATCAATAAATTAGTTTGTTGTTTTTTTCTTGTACCTGGATCGATTGCGGTCTTCACTGCGGTCACGGCTTCTGTCCGTCTCCCTATCGCGCTCTTTCGTGCGCTCGCGGTCTCGATCTCTTTCTCTCTCCCTCTCGCGCTCCCGCTCTCTCTCGCGCTCCCTCTCTCGGTCCTTCTCCCGCTCGCGGTCCCGTCGTTCACGTTCCCTCTCGCGCTCCTTGTCTCTCTCCTTGCGATCCCGCTCCAGCTCCTGCCTCTCCTTCTCTCTCTTCCCCTTTTCCTCTTCCAATTTCTGTGGGAAAACGGGGAGGGAAGTTTTCGGATTAGCAACTGCTCAAACAGAAGACAGAAGTTATGACACAATATCACTCTATGAGGAAGTGGTTTACAGTCCCTGCCATTCACATATGCACTCATATACAGGCACCAAAAGTCTGAGACCACTACAGTATTTTAATGCAATAAATGTTGAATTATAAATTACATCATCAGCATAACGGGTCAAAATTTTAATTAAGAAATTAACATGAATTTGAGAACAGTCTAAGTATGTGATATTTTAATGACAGCATCAGTGGAGCTACATGAACAAACCCTGATGAACTTTTGAACGTCTTGCATGATGAAAGAGGACAGTATCTAGACGGAACAGCATGTAAATCAAGAAATTCTTTAGCAATTAATAAAAGGAAACCTGGAAACCACTTTCGAGATATAACTTTGACGTTGCAAACAACTGAATAAGATCAGAAACAGTTGAGGGCTCTGTAATTTCAGTCTCATCACATGATCAACAGAAACAGGCTTCAATCCTTGTGAAACTAGTTGTTTGTGCACTTACAGGTGTTGACTAGCGACTCACAGCGCTTCCGTGGCCCTACAAGCCTTTATTGTTAGGCCTGGGAGGAAAAGCAAGTCAAAGGATTCACAAGGAAAAATAAAAACAAACTATTCTCTTAGCTTGCAACAATCTCACAAACAACTTCCAGACATTTTGAAAATGTTGTGACAGGAGCATTGCATACTGTATTTGTTAGATTTGCTTCTTTTTCTTTGCAGTTTCTTTGTGGTTTGGATAGAAAAGGCAACAAATGAAGGTGTAGAGACTGCTTACCCCACTGCAGACGGCACGAGCCCTCAAGAGGATCAGACTGAGCGATTATGAAATGCATTGAAGAGCAGCATGACATCCACGGCTTTAGTCTCAATTCAACAGCTCTCGCATCGCAGTTCGACAAAATATCTGACGTCTATCAACAGTTACTACTTCCCAGAAAACTAAAGTCTCCTGAAATTATTCTAAATATATTCAAAGTCTAATTTTAATATGATACTATTTCGTAACGGCTTAACCGTGGGTGTTATGCAACTGTGAGCAGCAGCAGCAAATAAACACGTAAAACAGGAGGTGAAGATGAGACAGGAAAATAAAACAAACTGTAGATACAGGCATTTAGCTGAATAAACGCATGTCATTTACAAATGACACTGCTTGTAAGTAACATTTCTACTGGTGAATTTGACAGGACAGTTAGCCAGGATAGTCTAAAGGATGTCTTTATATTATTAACATTTTACATCAAGTCTTCATTCTAATAATAACTACAGCACATTTAAAAGTATTGCTATAAGGCAGATAGTAGATGGACAAAAAAAACTTCAGAAAATTAAAAATGTCCCTTGGAAACTAACTCAGAAAGTTTAAGCAAAATGACTAAAATACTACAAATGATAAAAGCACATTGAAAAAACTACTAATACTTAAATTAAAAAAATCAAAATACATACAAATAAAATCTACTTCAAATTATTTAAAAATATTTATATTATAATAGTATATAAATAACACTGTTGTAGTCCCAGAACTTAGGTTATTGACACACTACATCTGAATATTTTGGCATATACAGTGGTGGCCAAAATTATTAGAACACTAGTATTTTCACCAGCTAAAAAATGGTTTTAAGTCAGTTATTTCTAACTTTTGCTGTAGTGTATCAGTAGAAAATATCAGTTTACATTTCCAAACATTAATTTTGCCACTAATTGTAATAATCCAGTGAGATTTTTTTATTTATTTATTTATATTTGTTTGCTACGCATATGGGACTTTTTGCCCAAATGTAACCTTAATCGAATTTTGCCACTAATTGTAATAATCCAGTGAGATTTTTTTATTTATTTATATTTGTTTGCTACGCATATGGGACTTTTTGCCCAAATGTAACCTTAATCACCCAGAAAAGTAATCTCTCGTAAAGATGTATGATTTGAGAAATCATTTGTGTCTGTGACGTGTCAAAGTCGAATATTTAGTGTTATGAGGCTTATGAATTTTAAACATTATGTGCCATTTTCTTGGATTTGAAGCAATTCTGTGTGACTTTAGCGATACAAAGTGTTAAACACACACACAAAGAAACACTTAAAATGAAAAGAAAAGAGCGCAAGCAAGCAGGAATGAAGAGAGGTGATGGCAGACTCAATCACAAAGCGAATTCATACCTGTAAAATCTTCAGAAAGTCCGTGTGCTGTGGAGGGGCGCCCCCTACTTTCACAAGAGCCGAATGGGCCAATTCACTGTTATTCAAGTCAGCAGTATTCATTATAGCACCAACATCACTGATACTAGCAGACCCACACAGCTTCACTGGCCGCCCATGTCTCAAGAGAACCAGAAAATGAGTCGTTTGGCAAATTATCCCTTTTCTAAACACTGCAGACATGATCTAACACCCTCAGATGTATTTTGATATTAAAACCACCCGAATGGGCTGAATTTCAGAGCGAGTCGGTGCAGTTGCCCCTGTGCGAGTCCTCCAGAAGGGGGCGCCCAGTACAAGTAGAGAAAAATGGAAATCTCATACTTACATCCTATCCTTGCAACTTTTTCCAAAGCTGAGAGATTCATCTTGGTTTAGTCACCATATGATCTCTATCATAATGGTGGGGTTTAATGAATAGATTAGCTTTTAGGGAAGTGCACAGAACGTCCATGCATTGTATGTGTGACTACATTTCCCACCCACAACACGAAGGCCACGCTACAGTCTACACAAGCCACTGATATAAACGCTCAGGACCCAAATGAGGCCTAGTCTTAAACTGATTTCTGCACTATATCATCAAATTTAAAGCTTAAATGTAATAAAAGTTTTGCTGAGCTAAATGGAATTGACAGGCTAAATAGCATCTACTCATGCTGGTGTGTTGTCAAACTAAACTAGGTGTAAGAGGCTGTTGTGCTCTACCTGTTATATGGAGTAAATTAGCAAGTATTTTACCTTGTGTGTATCACGGAATTTGTTGATCTCTCTGGAAATCAGATCTCTTTTGTCATCTTCCATTTCCATGGCACTGAAGTCATCCTAAAGAAATGGAAACCATGGGTAAAATACAAATATATACATACATCAACTCTCCTTAATGAGAAATGGAAACAAACCAAATTTTGCTGAGATTGGACTACATTTAGGGTGTGCTCAACAAAGTTGAAATTCTTAATATAGTCTTAAATGACAATAATAGCACGTAATTAATAATTATGCAAAACCATTTGTAAACTGTGAATTATGTTAAAAACGAGAACACAGAACAGTGTTGTTAGTCTTAAAATGTTAAATTACATTGGCGCCGATAGCCTTGTGGACAGTGTGCTGACATGTAGCTCTGTTGCGCCTCAGTTCGAGTCCCAGCTCGTGGACCTAGGAACAAACACTCGTAATGAAGAAGTTAAGAGTGTTCAGCCATTGTCGTGACATGCTGCCAAGTATAGTAACCCATACTCAGAATTTGTGCTCTGCATTTAACCCATCCAAGTGCACATATACAGCAGTGAGTAGTAAACAACTCACACACAAACCTTGAACACACAGTGGGCAGCCATTTTCTCCAGCATCAACTGGATCAGTTGGGGGTTCAGTGCCTTGCTCAAGGGCACCTCAGTCGTGTTATTGAAGGTGGAAGTCACTCCCCCCACCCACAATCCCTACTGGTATCGAGACTCGAACCCGTGACCTTCAGGTTACAAGTCTGACTCTCTAACATTTAGGCCACAACTGCCCCTCATCTCTGACATCAGAAACAGTCAATATTTTAACAAAAACTCAAAATCAGCTCTTGAAGTACCCGTTGATAAAAAGATACATTCGTTGAGCACACCCTAAATGACAATTTATCTGAATGGAGTTTTGCATACATTACTAACTTCTAGTGGAGAAACAAATGAGGGGGTGAGAGGTTAACATTTCCAAAAAAAATAATAATAATAAAAGACCCCCCAGTAAGGTCCACCCTAACGTGTACATCAAAATGGCAAAACATTAAAGAACAAAAGGCCAAGATAAACTAAAGCCTACCTCATCCTTCTTTTCCCTCCTCTTTTTGCGGCGACTCGACTCATCATCCTGAGATTGAGCGTTCAGATCACTTGAATACTCCCGGATCAGACCGTCAATAGCTCCTTTGACAATTTGGTCCCGCTTCTTAGTTTCTTCATCCAGAACCTCCTCTTCCTCTTCACCAGCACCATCCTCTGCCTTGCCATTCTGCCAGACACACAGATCAAAACTCAGCATCTTTGTGGCAAAATATTATTCATAATATTTATTTAATATTTTTCTCAACAAGTGAACAGTACGTTCTTATATTAGTATCAACCTGACATCAAACACTTACTCCATTTTCACTGGTGCTCTTCTTCTTTGCTTTCCACTCATCCAGTTGTGCTTTGGTTTTGGCATCGACTTTGACCAGAAGTTTCTTTTCTCCAAGCTGCAGCTCATGAAGCAGCCGTAGAGATCGTAGAGTAGATTCAGGCTCTTTGTACTCACAGAAACCAAACGCTGGAGCAAAGAACAAAAAAAAGATGTCTGTGAGGAACCAGTCTGGCATATCCACAACATTCATGGGAAATGCAAATAGTCTTGTATGATTTTCAAAATAAAAACCTGACATTGCAATATTTTCTTCTTCTGCAATATATTTTGCAATTTGAAAAAAATGCAGCAATTTTCACCAGATCATTTGAATAGCTAGCTATATTCAGAAAGAATAAATCATTCTAGAGTTAGTGGGTTGATTTTTGTGGGGAGTGTATATGCATAGAAAAAGAAAAACTTTTAACTTTAAAATATGTTTTACAATTATTTTCCGGCTGCAAGATTTGGGAAGAACTTGATAAATATTGTTTTTATTTATTTAGTCATTAATCAGACGCTTTTATCCAAAGCGACTTACAAATGAGGACAACAAAAAAAAAAAATTTTAATATTAAAACAACTAAAAACAGATCCAAAACGAAAAGCTAAAACTTTATAAATACTACTTATACACATTTTAAAAAAAAATAAAGAGATTAAATAAAAATGACAAATGCATACAACAAAATTTCAAAACTTAACATTGCTCACAATATAAAAATAAACCTCAAAATTCAAAATATTAAAGAACAAAAGGTATAAGAGTATAATAATGATTCGATACGTTACATCACAATTACAGGATTAGTTCACTCCAGAATTAACATTTCCTGATACTTTACTCACCCCCATGTCATCCAAGATGTTCATGTCTGTCTTTCTTCAGTCGAAAAGAAATTAAGGTTTTTGAGGAAAACATTCCAGGATTTTTCTCCATAAATTGGACTTCAATGGGGATCAAAGGGCTGAAGGTCCAAATTGCGGTTTCATTGCAGCTTCAAAGGGCTCTACACGATCCCAGCCAAGGAATAAGGGTCTTATCTATCCAAACGATCGGTCATTCTCTAACAAAAAAAATAATAATCTAAATTTATATACTTTAGTACATACATTTAGTCCACTAAATGGAGAAAAATCCTGGAATGTTTTCCTCAAAAACCTGAAGAAAGACAGACATGAACATCTTGGATGACATGGGGCGAGTAAATTATCAGGAAATTTTAAATAACGAGTGAACTAATCCTTTAATATGTAGCCATGTGACAAAAAACTAATGTGATGGTGACTAATATAAAAATGAGGTATGGCATCCCTATAAAAATCTGATTTAACAAGAAGCATCCCCATAGCATATTTTGCATATTAAGATAAAGCATGCCTTGTTTTAACGAGACTGTTACTTAATTCTACATTTTGAAACACTTTGAATTTACTTCAAAGCAATATAATCTGAGCAAATACATAAATAGAGACAGATACTTCAGAACAAAGAAACACTATGGCTGGGTATTGACCCAGATTTCACAAATTGATTTGATTTTGATTCAATTCAATATCAATTCATTTGGATTAAATTTTTCTTAAGGAAAATAATCTCTCAACAAATGCTTTAAACTATGCGGAGATCCCTGACAGGTTAAAATTAACAACAGAGTATCAATTTCAATATCTGCTGAATGCAGACATTTTATATTTACATTATAAAAATCTGATTTAACAAGAAGCATCCCCATAGCATATTTTGCATATTAAGATAAAGCATGCCTTGTTTTAACGAGATTGTTACTTAATTCTACATTTTGAAACACTTTGAATTTACTTCAAAGCAATGTAATCTGAGCAAATACATAAATAGAGACAGATACTTCAGAACAAAGAAACACTATGGCTGGGTATTGACCCAGATTTGATTTTGATTCAATTCAATATCAATTCATTTGGATTAAATTTTTCTTAAGGAAAATAATCTCTCAACAAATGCTTTAAACTATGCGGAGATCCCTGACAGGTTAATATTAACAACAGAGTATCAATTTCAATATCTGCTGAATGCAGACATTTTATATTTACATTGCTGGTGTGCAACCTGTACATATGTTGACGTCTCAAAAAATGTTTTAGGGTTTCATGACCCTTTAAAGCATGCCAAAAAATGTTTTTAATTCTGTGATAAAACTGACAGAATTTGAAAGCTGAGACTTTTTCATATCAAAAGTAACAAAGATGATTGTTTATTGTATGGGATGTGCGCACAAATAATGTTTAGTGACGTTTTATTCACGCTTCAACTGAAAAAGAAAAAAAACTGCCTAAAAGAACGATTCTTGGGATTTAAGAATCAATATTGGTTTTTCAGAATGAAAATCAAATAAAAATTTGGATATCAATATTTTTAACCCAACCCTGTAATATAGCAATGCATACATACATATATTTAGACTGGAAATGGCTAAAGTAATTGAAAGAAATTAAATTTTCTATAATTAAATAACATTACCGCAGGGGCTGGGGCCATAATGCCCATGTGGACAGGAATCATTGGGGTTCCTATAAAGGGGAAAAATCAACAACATCAGAAAATAATGTTCACCCTAATTTGAATTTGTCAAAATTACATTTTATAATCATTTAGGCTCATTTAGCATAGAAACTGTTCACCTAGCAATGCATAAGAGATCTTATGCGGCCCCTTAAAAAAACAACTGAACAGACCATAACCTTCCTTGAAAATATTATATTAAGCATGACAACAAATCTGTTATTCGAACTTTGAATACTCAAAGCAAGCAACACCATGCTGCATAATCAAGATGAAACAGTTGACACTTTCATAAAAGCTGACTGAATGCTCTGGATTTCAATGAAAGCTGCCGTTATAATCAACATGTAGCCTATGCATTTAGCTGACGCTTTTATCCAAAGCAACTGCCAGTGTGTATTCCATGTCATTCAAACCCATGATCTCGCCGTTGCTAACTCTATGATCTAACAGTTGAGCCACATGAACACTAATATGCCTACACACGGTCTGATAAATCTAGTTTATCTTGATTACCAGGAGGCATTGACGGTGGAAACCCAGCAAACTGTGGTGGAGGGATTCCTGGCGGCAACGTTGGGATGCCTATTTGTGGCCGGTTGAGATGAGGAGGGAAAGACATCTTGGGCAGAACACCCACCTTAGACAGAAGGCAAACACATCATTAACAACTGTAAATAACAGGAGTTTATACATTGTTTAGGCTGCTACAATACACACACTACTCCGCTTACACAATCAAGATCTTCTCTTAAAGGAACACACCACTATTTTTGAAAATAGGCAAATTTTCCAACTCCCCTAGAGTTAAACAGTTGAGTTTTACCGTTTATGGCTAGGAACTATACTCTCATTCTGGCATAATAATCAAGGAACTTTGCTGCCGTACCATGGGTGCATCAGGCGCAATGATATTACGCAGCGCCTGAAAATAGTCCCCAGCACGCTCCCTGTGCAAGCAGGTGGTCACGTTGATTATGTTGATGGAACTTAGCCTATTTTCAAGCGCTGTGTAATATCATTGCGCCTGCTGCACCCATTATACGGCAGCAAAGTTCCTTGATTATTATGCCGGAATGAGAGTATAGTTCCTAGCCATATCGGCCTAGAAAATCGCAACTTTTCATTTTCTGTCGGTCTTAGTACACGATGTAACTACAGAAGAGCCAAGTTTTAAATAGGAAAAATATCGAAATTCTTTGGTCATTTTTGAGCGAGAAGCTAACGGTCTAATCAGATTCAATGATCTATGCAAAGCTACAGCTAAAAGTGCTACCGCCAGACCCAGAGATCGGCTGAATGGATTCGAAAACGGTAAAACTCAACTGTTTAACTTTAGGAGAGATGGAAATTGAGCCTATTTTCAAAAATAGTGGAGTGTTCCTTTTAGTTCTGCAATTCACCTCATAGTTTACAGTAAGTATCTATTAGAACCCGACCGATATATCGTTTAGCCGATATTATCGGCCGATATGAGCCTGTCGTCGATATACCGGTATTGGCGAATATGCCGCCGATATGAATTTTTTTTTCCAGAACATATAACGCCGATAAAATGCTTGAAATGGTGTAATTACTTAGTGTCCCCGGGGGTTCGGGAGTTATGGGTGGTTAAATTCATGGTCCGGCGCCGACCGATCTAGCGATCCCGGGGGGCTACCGACGCGCGGAGAGGGTGGCGTTCGAGAGGGCTCCTCGAGCTGAAGGGATCCCCCGAATTTGGTGGAAATCCGCCGGCGCATTCGCGAGATAGTGACACCAGTCAACACTTTCCCTTCAGTAAGGAGGTCTCTTGTTCAGGCAGCATTCACACGTTGTCTTATTCGACCATAAGTGCCCTGCGAAGTGGACTTCACATGATATTCCGCCATGATTCCAGTTCCAAGGGAACGTACATTACATTCAAAGGGCATTAAAGTATGTAAGATGTGAATTTATATATATATATATATATATATATATATTTACAGAGGTATATTATGTCACACTTCACTAGTAAGTTTCGTCTGTGTGTGAAGACAGTAGCGCAAATCTGTGAATGAATGGTTCCAAAGTGAAAAAACTTCAATGGAATAAAGTTGAATGGAATTGAATTGACTTAAAATTGAATAAACTTCAACTTTACGGTTCAGTGCAGTGATGTCAGGCTCATTTTGAATAAAGTTTATTGTTAAATGCCCTGCCTCCATCATTACATATCTTTGTCACGTCATTATAAGTGTTTGATCACCACATTTGAGTGTTCATTGCAAAAAATGTGTTTATGTATATATATTCTGTTTATGTATATACTGTATTCTATCTATCTATATAGTATCAAACTTTTGACTGGTACTGTACTATAATATGCACAAAGAAATATCGATATCTGCCTTTTTTTAAGCCCCAATATCGGTATCGGCCCGTCTCTAGTATTTATAGTACTATTACTTGAGTCTACATCTAAAGCTGTTAAATTTTCTGTTGAATGCATTTCATTTATAGGCCATAATCACCAAAAATAAATCAACACCAAATCAGAAAATCTTGCCAGACCAATCAGCTGATTTCAGGATGCTGTGAAATCAACGGGAAAGCTCTGAATCAGCCTGAATTCGACCTGAAACCAGCTGAAAGTTCTAAAATCAACATGAAATCAGTTTAAAGGTTTGAAATAAAGCTTAATCTTATTCTAAAAGATCTGAAATTCCCTATATTTTAATAAACTGTCCTCTAAAAAAAAAAGCAACATTAGACTGAAAGATAAAACTGAAAGTACTGAAATCAGCTTGAAATGTTGTACAGATTGAAAATCAACCCGAACTGGGCTTAAAGCACTGAAATCAATCAGAGATTAACTAAACGCACTGAAATCAGACGAAAGGTCTTAAAACTATTTAAAGGCCGATTTCACGTTGGTGTAACGTCTCACAATGTGACTACCCATTGACGTTAGCTAACCAAATAAACAGGTGTATGATAGCTAAAATTGTGTATAGCGCGGAAATGGTGTTGCTTATGTGAAATGTAGTCATTATAAACCCCTAAATTAGACCGGTTTGTCAGAAAATACCAGCGGGAATCATTTCAGTCAGACCGGGCAGCTGCTAGCCGCGAGCTAACGGTCACAAAAAGCCTTTATTCTGACCTCTCTCAACGGATTAACTCGTTTTATCGAAGTCCTGTACGAAACAATGAACATATGAACTCAAAACGATAACCAATACTTTAATAAATCATACTCACTCAAACCAAATCGATATCAACTCGCTTCTCGCACGGAAAGTTCACCGGATCCGTAGTAAAAGCAACGAGCAATCGAACCTGCAGTTTCCGGTGAAATGGAATTCTGGGAAAATAACGGGCAAATTAAAAGACCTCTGCTCTAAAAGCTAAATAAAATAAACAAATAACAAATCAAATGCAAATATACAATAAGTTTGGTTTTAAGAATTTCTTGGTGTTCTTTGCGTAATATTGCTAACCATATTCTCTGTTGATCCTAAATAAAACATGAATTCATGAATTCAGAATTATTCATTAACTTCCAAGCTTTTATATTGCGCATTAAATATGAAAATATTAAAATTAAATGTATCTCTGGTTAAATCTAACAAAACGGTCTATAAATTTCCAGGGCGAATTTACCCGAAATAAATTAAACGTATTTTTATGGACATTAAGAAATCATTTCTTGTTGAAATTTAACCAGACGTTTCTTCATATTCGCCCTTCTAGGCCGCAAACTGCATTTGAGTGACAGGTGACGTAAGCGAAGGCGGGATTTTCATGGAAAGTGCTGGAAAGAGACGAAGCACCGCTAGTTCCAAAGCCTGATGTTCTTCCGATGCGAAGCATAGTGCAGTCGATTATGCTTTGTTATGTGCATTTCTTTCACTGCGTTCTCTGACCGTTTGGCTATTTCATGTTTTAATGACAAAAAATATTTTAACAAGGTGAAGATTGTATAAAGAGTCGCACATTTTGTGCGCATCTTTCCAAACGTTACCTGTTTTTTTAATAACTGTTCGGTGTTCTCTGTCTAACAATTAAACATGTATTAAATATCACAGATATTATTATAGTTACCAAGAGTCAAACAATCATGCTTATGGTTTATTTCCAACAACGTGCAAGGCAATCGTAGGGTTTTACTAAGAAAGTTGATTTAAAAAATGTACTCATTCGGGTCCTTTCTTACAGGACAATTTAATACGAATCTCAAATAACAGACTCCAGACGTATTTCAAGTTCTAAAATTAGTTTTTATTGTTTATTGTATTTTATTAAGCGATTCTTAAGAAACACTATATTATTTCAGTTATGTAGACGTTATTTATATCTGACGCAGCTAGTAAAATACTGCATCTGTAGCTGGGAATAAATGCGATTTACACAAATAAAAGAGTGTAGTTTGTCTTTGTTGACGATATGTAAGCGCCTCAGAGTGAGTCAGCGCGGAGGGATACAGCCGCACATTCAAAGGCGGAGTATAAAGAAAAGAGCCGCGCACGCGGGGTTCTCTTCGCTCTGCTTCCCTGAGTATCAGTGTAGGGGAGATCAGCTGTTTCTGTGGCGATTAAACCATCAAAAAACAACGAAACTAACCAAGGTAAGCCATCGGTCTCTATCTTAAACGATTCTATATCATTCCAGGAATGACTGTAGACTAAGAGAACGGCGTTTAATCTCTGAATTAATTATGTATTTCATTCGCTCTTTGACCGGTGTTGTAATGAAGCGGATGCCGGTTAAGAGTCGCTTGTCTCCGATCTAACAGACGCGGTCATCCTTCAGAAGACTTTTCTTTTTATTTTGAAAGAATCGTACGTTAATGTAGGATGTGATGTTTATTTGTTTTTGTGGCTATTTAATGAGTTGATGAGCAGGTGCAGTGGTTCACAATGCTGTGTAGTTACTGGTTAAGCATCTTTTTCTAAATATCTTGCTATAAATCATATATATGTGTAATGCATATAAGAGTCGGAGGTGACCGGAATGGGTGGTTGGTGTATTAAAAGTCATCATATCTTTTTAATTAACGTTCTTGTATTAGTGTTTAAAGTTATTGAATAAGCGTCATGAGAATGGTATTTATTACGTTGAATAATAAAAAAAGCAGTACACATCTAAATCAATTTAATTACAAGGATTGCAGCAGGAAAACACGTGTTGAGCGCATTGTCCTTCTGCGCCATGTTCTTCCGCATCCGGGCCTCTTATGCACCGGTTTGTCTTGTATAACTGTACTACAAGTGATAAATGCTTTCATTTTCATTTAACCCTTTGTTTGTTCAATTTAGACATTTATAAACCAAAATCAGTAATGATGTACACTTATGTAGACATGTTAAACCATGTATGTAATAATGTTGATCTGAATTGATTTTTCTCAGATGCCTGAAGAAATGCGCCAAGAGGAGGAGGCTGAGACCTTTGCCTTCCAGGCAGAGATCGCCCAGCTGATGTCTCTCATTATCAACACCTTCTACTCCAACAAAGAGATCTTCCTCAGGGAGCTCATCTCCAACGCCTCTGATGTAAGCCCAATGATAGACTGTTTTTAATAGTGTCATATATTGCTAGCTCTAGCAATAGGATGATATAGTTCCTGCGATCAGCCTGGTTTTCCCCACTCGACAGGCTCTTGACAAAATCAGATATGAGAGCTTGACGGATCCCACCAAACTGGACAGCGGCAAGGACCTGAAGATCGAAATCATCCCCAACGTTCATGAACGCACTCTTACCCTCATCGACACCGGTATTGGAATGACCAAAGCCGATCTCATCAACAACTTGGGTACCATCGCCAAGTCCGGGACAAAGGCCTTCATGGAGGCTCTGCAGGTGATGCGTCTGCTAGTTTTGGCATGCTTATCAACATTTCTCCATTGAATTTAGTCTCTAACGATTCCTGTTCATCTCTCCAGGCTGGCGCAGATATCTCCATGATCGGGCAGTTTGGTGTGGGCTTCTACTCCGCCTACCTGGTGGCTGAAAAGGTCACGGTCATCACTAAACACAACGATGACGAGCAGTACGCTTGGGAGTCATCTGCTGGCGGCTCTTTCACAGTCAAGGTGGACCATGGTACGTTACAAACTCATTTTTGATTCAGGGGTGTGTGATATATCGTCTACGATTATTTTATTTATTCATAGTTTTAACGATGTGCGATTTTGACAGAGTATATTGCAAAAACCATTTAAAACACCCCTATAGAGCGCACGCATGCATTACATGAAGTCTAGACTAGTGCGTGTGCGCATTTAGAGTGTTCTTTCACTGAATGATTGTCTATTAAAATTCTAAATGCATTATCACAAGTTCAAGACATGGGGGCAGAAAATGTATATATTTATACCACTTCATATAGTTAATCAGTTTCACATGAAGACTGCCGTTTTCTCCAGATATTACCATATTTGCAAATATGATATTGTGTGTTTTTGTTTTTTACAACCATTCAATAAATAAGTTAATTGAGACTTGCGTTTTATTTATTTATTTATTTTATTGGTTTATTTAATAGGGACCATGCATATTCATGAACATTGTTGTATAAATATACACCATGTAAATATGCCAGAATTAGTAACAATAACTACTTTTCATCTGCAGTCCCTAGGCAGGTAACATAATACTAACATAAAGACAGCAGCCCGAAAGGGGAACAGAGTCGTGTGACAGACGCAGTGATGAAGCTGGTATGTGTTTGCAGTACACAAGCCACGGTTAAGACGGCTGACTCCACTGTGAACTCTGTCTCACGTGCGCACACACACACGATGCGCAAAACTCTTTTGATTTGAACAGTCAATAGCAAATACTTAAACTAATAACAAAACGGTAGCTGATTCAGAAGCGCCAGATTGTCATAGCAAAGTCAGAATGACCTCCTCTCCTAGGTTCACGAAACGGTCGTCCATAAAATGCATTGCTGTTCTGTTGTAAGTAATCTTAAAGATTCCTAAATGCATCTACTTTCGGAAGGCCAAATAAAGTGCTTTTGCTTTCGCCTAGAAACACACAGCGTCTCCCTGACATGCTGCTTCAACACTAACTGCGGTTACTGAAACCACGCTGCCTTTCTTTGCATGTGCATTTGGGCGCATTGTGCAAATATTTCCACATAGTGAGGTAGATATGTGGGGGCGTGTTAGAACGAGCCGTTTTAGGGGGGCGTGGCAGAGTCTTTGATAAAGAATATCTTTTTGGATTTGAGACTTTAGTCTTTGCAACTTCAGGGATCTTATCTATGCACAATCAGCTTGTAACACTCCAAAGAGAAAGGAAAACTTGAAATCGCATTATATGACCCCTTTAAATAATTTCAAATATCAGTATTCAACGTTTTATGTTTAATATTAAAACATTATTTATGCATTTGTAATTGCAGGTTAAATGCATTCATGTCTTGCATTAAGCAGTGTGTAAATACATCTAAATGCCACTTCAGATGCAGCTTCTGTGTTGATTTTCATTTGCTTGGTAACAGCCCAAATGTCTTATTATAATTCACTGAATGAATTTGACTCAAAAGATAATGGACACTTTTAGAAAAATGGCTTTATAAAGGTAAAAATGCCCATAAAATATGAAATTATTGGAAAAGATTCATTTCTATCCGTGTGAACTGACCACCACATAATATGAAGAATTTCAAAAACTTTAAAAACCAGCTGTCCATGGCAGTCCTTAAGATACCAGCACAATAACACACTCAGCAAAATATCGTCTAATTATCGATTAAAATCCCAGAAAATGGAGATCTTTTTGTCAATATCGCACACCCCTACTTTGATGACATAAGTGCAATTTTAAGGGTGATTGTAATGTTCACGCACCTGCCAATCTCCAGGTGAGACCATTGGCCGTGGAACCAGAGTCATTCTTCACCTGAAAGAAGATCAGACAGAGTACATCGAGGAGAAGAGAGTGAAGGAAGTGGTCAAGAAACACTCCCAGTTCATCGGATACCCAATCACTCTCTTCGTAAGCTGGATTCGGTTTAACTAGTGGAGTTTAATTATTCTGATAAAATTGTTCTGGTAGTTGAGTGATGGCAAAATACCAATTTCCATGCAGGTGGAGAAGGAACGCGACAAGGAGATCAGTGACGACGAGGCAGAGGAGGAGAAGCCTGAGAAAGAGGAGGAGGAGGAGGAGGAAGGTGAAGACAAACCCAAGATTGAGGATGTCGGCTCAGATGATGACGAGGACTCCAAAGACAAGGACAAGAAGAAAACCAAGAAGATCAAGGAGAAGTACATCGACCAGGAGGAGCTGAACAAAACCAAACCCATCTGGACCCGCAACCCTGACGACATCTCCAACGAAGAGTACGGAGAGTTTTACAAGAGCCTGACTAACGATTGGGAAGATCACCTGGCTGTCAAGGTAACACAATGAATTCTGCAGAACAAGATTCACACTTAAATGTTTGAGAGTTGATGAAATACTCCCTTTTATGCATGGTCCTGCAGCATTTCTCAGTGGAGGG